GCCCTAGGAGGACAACACGCGGGTCTAAGGAGCGGAGTGCTAACACTGTCCTGCTGTTACTGTGCCCTCCCAAACTGCCACCTCGAGAAATTTTCAAACCCAAGCCAAACCTTGCCCTTCTGACTCCTTCATGCTCACATTTCTCGGGACTTGTCCACACTGTCATCAGACACAACCTGTATTTTTATGATTACTTATGCACACCTCGCTGCTGCTCGCTGGCTTGTGTAATCCTTACAGGGAGGTATTTAACCTTCTTAATCTCTAAATCCCAAGCACCTACTAGTCCTCAATATGCAGCAGACCTTAAATTATCTTACCAAAAGGAAAGATCCGTGTCAAACTACTGATCTCCCATGAATAAAACTGACGACATTTTAATAATAGTCAGTGAGCACAAATTATAAGAATGAAAACTCATTTGACATCCTCTAGATTGGCATGACCCGGAAAGACAGACGACATTCCGTGTTGCCCTGGCTAAGTAGAAACAGGGGCTCTCATAGATGGTCATATAAATATAAGACTGGTACAGCCTTTAGAAAAAATAACAGAGAAGTATACGACCAAATTCAATTGTCAATCCCACCCTTAGGACTCTATCACACAAAAATATTTTAAAATGTACACACAGAAGCACACATGGTCAAGGATCACTCAGCAAGCTTCGTGAAACCCAGACATCCTAAAAATTTATCAATGGGGGAATCACTTCATTATCTTTGTGCATATATACTATGGAATATATTATAGCATTTAAAAATAGGGTAGACATATGTAAATATGGAATGATACCAAAGATAAATTAAGAGAGAAAGAAAGCTGCCAATATGTATAAACTGATATAATTAACGTATGAAAAAAGGAAAAGAAGGGAGGCTGTGTGCATGTAAACGGACCTAGGAAGAGCTCTGAAAGGGAACTTCAGGTGACACACAGTGTTCACCTTTCTCAGAGGCAGAGGGTGGAGGAGTGAAGGGCGATCAGTGTGACACTTGTCGGAATCGAAATGGAGTCACCAGCGTTAAGAAGATCCTGCCAAACAGAGCTGGGGAAGGCTGCGAAGACAGGGTTCTCATGCTTGCATGTCACAAAAGACTGAAAGCCACAATCTCCCACAAAGGACATCACAACCTTACCCCAAAAATACTTCCACGAGCACATCTGCCCAGCAACTGCCTGTCCAACCTTGGACTGGCGCCACCCTTGTTACTGATCTTTGCAGACAAGGACAATTCTTTCAAATGATTATGTAATCCTCCTCATTTTCCCCTTTAAAAAACCTTTGTCTTCCTTTCCCTCCCTGAATATCCACATAATTTACTATGGCCTGTGTATTCCTACTGCAATGCTCTGTCCCCAAATACACATCTTTTCTCTTAGGGAGCCTCTCTCTGTTGTTTAGCTTGACACGTGTGAAGGTCAATTTCATTGTTTTATGAAAAGCATGATTATTAATGGGAATTTCTTAGGACACTATATCCAAGTATCTTTTGGTAATTAAGGTTGCACCGACAGCAAAACAGAGAATGCAAGGATGTTTACTGACAGAAGTCTGAGATGACAATGAGGATTTTAACTCCTTGGTCCGATGGGGACATTGTAAAACAATCTCCACATGGAGCCAGTGCAGCCCACCAAGCGTGTGCTCTCAAGCCTCCCCTGCAGCCCAACAAGGAACATTACAAACAAGTCAATGCCTTTAAAATAAACATCCTTTAGCCAACTGAGCAAACGTATATGCCAAAAGACATTACTGAGATCAATACTACATGCTTTCAAAGATGCCTCTGCATGTATTTATTAAGTCCTTAAGAAATTCTTTATATTACTCTCCTCAATTCATAAGTGTTTTGTAATATTGATACTACAGTGAAGGAACAAGCCAGAAAAGAAAGGGCCGTGATATGCCTTTGTGTTTGCTGAAAACCACAACTCAAGCTTTGAACTCTCCACCTGCTTTCATCACTTTCCAATAATTGTTCTTTTCAACATAACTGGGGGGCTGGGCCGGACAGGCTGAAACCAGGGGATCAATTCTAGGTATGACATGATATGGAAAAATGGTGATAAATTTTTTAAAAAAAGCAATAAAGAAATTCAAATATCCTCAAAGGGAACTTCCATGAGATGTTGCCTTTATTAGCCCTGCCAGGCCTCAGAGTTCAGCAAGCAAATCCATACACACAGCGGCTTCATCTGCAGAGATTTTCATGGCACCAAACAGAGCCAGTGCCAGGCTGTGTAGATCAAACTCCATTTTTATCTTCTTCTTCCTACTGTGTACTTCCAGGCCCATGCAAGTGAAAAGTAATAAGTACCTGCATAATTTTCAAGTTACCATAGAGTTTACTCCACTTTTAGAAGGAGAAGGGGAGAGACCATAAGTTATGGGGAAACATGTCAAAAAATTTTAAAAAGATAGTTGCAAAATTCATAGCCATAAATGCCTACATCCAAAAGACAGAAAGATCACAAATCAACAATCTAATGAATCGTCTCGAAGAGCTGGGAAAGGATAAGCAACCCAAATCCAGCAGAAGAAAGCCCAGCAGAAAAAAAGAAATAACCAACATCAGAGAAGAACTAAATGAAATTGAGAACAAGAGAACTATACAGAAGATTAATGAGACAAAAAGCTGATTCTTTGAAAAGATAAACAAAATTGGCATGCCTCTTGCTAGATTAGCCAGAAGCATAAAAGAAAGGACTCTAATAAGCTTAATCAGGAATGAAAAATGAGAAATTACAACCAATACCATGGAAACGCAAAATATCATCTATGAATACTATAAAAATCTCTATGCTCATAAACTTGAAAATGTGGAGGAAATGGACAAATTCTTAGGAACACACAGCCTCCCTAGGCTCAACCAGGAACAAACAGAATTCCTGAACAGACCAATATCAAGTACCAAAATTGAAGCAGCCATAAAAACCTTCCTAAAAAAAAAAACAATCCCAGAGCAGATGGTTTCACACCTGAATTTTACCAGACATACAAAGAAGAACTGGTGCCTATCCTGCAGAAATTATTCCACAATATTGAGGAGGCAGGAATGCTCCCCAACACATTTTACAAAGCTAACATCACCCTGATACCAAAGCCAGGAAAGAACTCAACAAAAAAGAGAAAATTACAGATCAATATCCCTTGTGAATGCAGATGCAAAAATTCAGATGCAATAAAATCCTAGCAGATCAAATTCTATTCTATTCTATTCTCATACCCAGTTAAGAACAGGGCTCTGGAAGGATCTGGAAAACAACATGAGCTCCTCTGTAAGTATCTGCTCATCCACTGCAGTGCCAGAACCACTAAGGGAATACTGTTTTTGAAATAAACTTTGATCGGTGCTTTCCATGCCAAAGTGACTAATAATATTTGTAAAGAATTTGAGCTCTCTGTAGACCTAGAGTTGTATCACACAATAGATGAAATCCTAAATATTGCGCACACAGTCTGGGAACTTGGATCAAAGTTTCAGAAATGTAGGGAGGGCAGAGTGTAAAGATCCCTGTAACCACAGGAGGACATCCCAGGGAAGTGATTAAAAAGCGAAAAGGGGTTTGTGCAGAGCTGTTTATCTCTCTACCAGCTAGTTCTGAAAACTTAAGTTTGCCATTTAAAGCTTGAGCTCACTCAGGGAAGAACCACTCTCCATCCACTCCCCCCATCGACGTGCCAATTCACTGAGAACTATCAGCGGCCATGTTACTTGGAGCATTTAACTTTACAAATTAAACAATAAGCCCATTTCAATTATCACCAAAAATTTTTGTACTCACGAGATTGCATCTAAAAGCATACCTGCTGTTCAAAACGGGATAAGCTCGGGATATCCCATTTCCGTGACAACAGTTTTTAAAATGCGAACCAAAGAGGCACCGCCCTCTTCCAAAGCCGCTTCTCTGCTCCTGCCACAGCCACTCCAGGCCAGCTGGTCCCACTCTGGCCTTGCCTTCCATTGCCACTGGGCCCAGCTGTGTGTGTGCTACCGTTAATGCTGCCTGCATTGACCCTCTTCCAGCCAATTAATTCTAAAATGGTTCTTTTCAAATGATTTTTTTAAAATAACAAACGAATCAATCACAGAAAGAAAGTCGTAGGTCTGGAATGACCAGGTCTGCTCCCATGGGGCCCTCTCCCCATCTGCCACCTGGAAGTCAAAATCTGAGACGTTCTCCAACCTTCAGTTTGAAGGCTGGACCCTTCAACAAAAACCTTTAGATAAAAAAGCCTCCACACAACTGTATCAACTCCCTTCAAAGGCAAAAGAAAAAAGAAAAAAAAAAAAAAGAAGTATTATACAATTTTCATGGAAAGAAAAAAAGAAAGCCTCTGACTCTGGGAAGATAATTTATTTACCACCAAGGTGTGCACTTTTCCATGTGTTACGTATCGTGTTACTTTCTGGAACTATTCACCACCTGCCTCGATTCTTTTCTCCTTTCAACCTTCAGCAGAATCACAGTCAAGGTCGCCTCTGTTCGGGTTGTTAGGAAACATAAATAAAGGACCACAGCTCTTTTCTGAGCACTCGTTCCTGGCACCTAGAGCCTTTATCATTCATTCACCTGACACCTCTTAGCAGCACTTGGTTATCTCCTAATGTCGTACTTACTATTTTTAACCATTAATCTTATATTTCCCAGTTTAATATAAATTCCCTAAAGCACGGGATTATATGCTACAATTCTTCAGAGGCCTGCGCAGGATCTACACTTGCACTAAATACATCATAGTTGGTGAGAGAAAACAAAAACCTTACCGTGCTGGCTCCCACTGTCTGTTCCCTCTTTGAATCACAGCACTTCTTCTATTACTGGGCTTAGACCAGGTGTCCTCAAACTACCACCCGGGTGGTGGGGGGCCCACATGCGGCCCCCCAAGTACATTTATCTGGCCGCCAAGTGTTTTTGTCGCCGCTGCCTGTCCTGCTTAGCAGCCGACTCGTCCCAGGCCCACAGTGCGCACGTGTGGAATGTGCGCCGCACTCTCCAACGGCCCTCCAACAGTCTGAGGGACAGTGACCTGACCCCCTGGTTAAAAAGTTTGAGGACCCCTGGCTTAGACTGTCAGTGAGAGAGCATGTTGGGAGCGAAGCTTCATGATAGTTTTGTGATTTGAACATGTTGGGGGTACACGCCCCTCCTTTAACCCCCACTCCATGGCATACGAGCATAAAGCCAGCAGACCTGGTAGAAATGGGCAGCAGAACGGAAGCAAACTCGCCTTTGCAGAGGGTCCACTGAGTGCCAGGCAGTTCACACCTCCATGCACCTGAACTTCACAAGCGCCTAGGAGGGAACGACTGCCGTCTCTGTTCAAGCTCACACCGCTAGTGGGAAGGAGAGCTGGGAGTGCACAGCGATGTCTGACTCCAGATCCTTGCCCCTTCCCCTCTCTCCTACAGTGAAGGGAGAACACAGAAAGACGGAGATCAACGTCAAGGACAAAGGCCGTCCTCAACAACCCACAGGGTGATGAGGATTTCATTATACGTTACCTGAGTTGATCCTCAACAAAACCCAAACCTCGTAAGACAGTGATGGGGTTCAGGACATGCTACCCCCAAATATGGCACCATGGCATTTGAGCAAATGGCAGGAGCAGGAAGGTCACTCTGACCTTCTAACCACCCTTCTCCCCTGAAGCAGGAAGACCCTCATGCAAGGAGTGCCTTCCCTGTACCTGGAGGAAAGGAATGCACTTAACTCTGAAGACACAGGGCACAGAAAAGAGCTGAATCTTGCTAAGTTCCCTCCAGTTCATTGCCATTAGATCCTACTTTTTTTTTCCCAATCACACTCCTGCAAGACTATCCACTTCTTCATCAAACCCAGCATAAACGATATACAGGTTTCCCTGTTCTTTGGGTCTTCCCAAAGCTACTCAAGCTCCCAGGTGACAATAAAACTTAGATTTTAAAAGCTCGTATGCTTTTCTCTTATTATAGGGCCTCAAGCAGCTCCCTCGCTGCAATCTATTGAAAGTCAGCCCTCGACACAAGGGTTTGTAAAAAAACAAAAAAGAAATATAGGGCCTCAGCCCCGAGCCTAGTGATGGATGAAGAAAAGAAACCTTTGCTCCTTGTGATAGGCACATTGGTATTTCCCCCTGCTTTAGAGGAGGTGTCTGGAGACTAAAGCCCCAAGGGGTGTAAGTCATTGACCAAGACTGGAACTCAGGTCTCGAGGGACAAGTGCTGGGAGTCACTGCTTTGACTGATAGCAGTAGGAATCTAAAACTCTAGAAAAAGAATTGTTGAGCTCACACCCTTCCGAGTTACTTGATTCTAGCATTTCATTGTCGTTGAGCTCTGTGAATTGTGGATTATGGAAGGTGATACAAAGTCATTCTTGCCTGTGGAGGTGGGAATGGCGTCAGGGGCAGTTCAGTTCATTGCCCCTCTCCATACTGCGGAAGATGCTAACTTGGCCTCCATTTGCGTAGTCATTTCAGTATTCCTGACCTATAAGTGCATCTGTTCTTTGGATTCTGCTTGGAATTGATTGTAACATCTTACCGGTTCCCTCTTTAACACTATCTCTATGAGAGATACGATTTCGCTTTAAAAAAAAAAGTTATCCTTTAACACAGTAGCATTAGATGTTGAGGAGGCAGAGTAGCCTTGTCCACAAGGAGACCACAGCTCCTCTGTGGACGTCTAGCAGCTGCCAGGCTCAAAGCCCTGCTCAGTGACTTCTGCGGGCTCTGCCACGCATTCACAGACTTTAAAAGACTGCAAGGCAACAGCAGCTGACGCCTCTCTAATATAAAGCCCCCCTTGCTTCTGGGCAAACATCAGGATCTCTTTCTACAGTTGCCCATTTTTCCACGTTTGAGAGTTTTATTTGCTGGGAGATAGGTTCTGAGCAGGAAGACCTTTGGCTTCCTAGTTGCTGGTGGGAGAATTCATGGGCATCCTGAAGGAAGCCACCCAAGGAAAAGGAGGGTTAAGAGAGTCCATTATGCTGGGTGCTGTGGTTCATGCCTGTAATCCCAGGGTTTGGGGAGGCCAAGGCAGGAGGATCTCTTGCGGCCAGGAGTTCAAGGCTGTAGTAAGCAATGATTGTGCCACTTGCACACCAGCCTGGGCGACAGAGTGTGACCCTATCTCCAAAAAGAAAAGCAAACAAACAAAAAATATCTGAAGGCCTGGAGCATTAGGAAGGAGACCTGGGAGCACAGCACACAATTTAATTTCAGACACTAGAAGAGGCAATTAACCGACTCCACCACGAAGCGGAGTTGCCTGTTGTGTCCACTGTCACCTATTCATCGGTGCTTAATAGTTTTAATTCTGTCTCTATCGGCTAATTCTGACTTGAGATTTGCGGTCCGCGAATGAAGCCCGTGAACGTGTGGTGGGCGTCGGCGCTGTGCCCGCGCGGAAGGCAGCGGCCGCAGAGAGCAGGAAGCGGGCTCCTGGTCGGCGTGGCTGTCCTCGCTTGTTAGAGACGCAGATTCCCCGCCTCCGCCCCAAACACGGCAAGTCACAAGGCTCCACTTTCAACACACTTCTTACTAAAGCACACTGAAGTTTCACTGAGGTGGAATAATTATACTAAATGTCTAAATTGAACAACTGGGCTACAGAATCATCAAATTAGGGGGTGCTGGCGGGGATGCTTACCCCATCTGTACCCTGCAGTTAGTATCTGCACTGCCCGCCTCCAGGGACTATTAGGATAATCAAATGGGACAATACACGTGAAGGCGCTTTGTATTCGAATGAAGAGAATATTAATTACTACCCCGTTGCTTTAAATTCCGAGGAAATTAGGATATATGATTCAATGAATTAAAGAATCAGTGAGAAGCTATCCAGTGTCTGATGACAGGTCGTGTTTGTTGGCAAATGAATGCACTTACGGATTGCCCAACACGACAGCCTCACTACAGGTGAAGACGTTAATTGCCAAAATGGTAAAGTAACTTGGCCAAGACCACAGGGTGGGACTGCGACAAAATATTGCCTAGATCAAGAAGGCAGGACTTAGGAGTCAGGATTCTGGGGGAAATGGACACAATGAAGTGAAAGGAGAGAAAATAATCTTCCTTGGCAGTTAGGGCACAGCTTGGGAGACTCAGGTGAGGGCTCCACTGCACCAACAGAACTGAGATGAGGGAAATGCCTGCTTCAGCCTAAACTGGGGGAAACTAGACCGTGCCATCTCCATAAATGGTCAAGAATTTATGGGGAGTCAGGAGGATCGTTTGAGCTCAGGAGTTAGAGACCAGCCTGAGCAAGAGCGAGACCTCGTCTCTACTAAAAATAGAAAGAAATTAATTGAACAGCTAAAAATATATAGAAAAAATTGGCCGGGCATGGTGGCACATGCCTGTAGTCCTAGCTACTTGGGAGGCTGAAGCAGGAGGATCGCTTGAGCCCAGGAGTTTGAGGTTGCTGTGAGCTAGGCTGATGGCACAGCACTCTAGCCGGGGCAACAGAGTGAAACTCTGCCTCAAAAAAAAAAAAAAATTTACAGGGAACTGGGGACAAAAGGTCATAGGAGGCAAAGGCAGGCTTCTCAGGCAAGTGTGCAGAAACTTAACGCTCATAATTAAAGTAGTGATAGAAGGCTTTACTCAATCTGGAATCCAGTGTCCTAAATGCACCCCCCCCAGGTAGCCCAAGTTGTAAACCATGTGGCAGTCCCAGGTAACAAAGGCACCCACGACCCTACATCACCTACCAAGAAACACAGGTTACATGTACGAAATATGGTTTGATTTATTGCTTCACCCAAATATCTTCAATTTGTGCATGCCTTGATATTTTCAACCCGAAAAGAAGTAGCCTTCAGTATTTCCTTTGAAAAGAAAGCAGAAAGACTAAAAGCAAATGTTCAGAGACTAATCATAAATATTAATAAAGTCAGTTATTCTGGAAGAACTACTGACAACTTATGCTTCTCTTGGGCAATGTGTCAGTCTTGTGATACGGCCAATTAACCAAATAAGGGCAGGAGTGGTGCCCAGCTAATGTTTCCTGAGGGTTTTGGAATCTGTTCATTTTGAGAGGACTGGGA